ACACGACTCATTCAACATGGATGAAAGAACTGTAAGTTTCAAAGATCATGCGCTTTGTCTTTAGCTGTAAGTTACCTTTGCCTTGAGCCATGCCTGTATAGAACATGATAAACAAAAACTATGCTAAAATAATTCTAACACTATCATTTCATTAGCATGGAGGGAAATTACAAAATTCTAGACAAACAACACGTGTTTTAAAATTGTATTTTTCTTCGAGTATGTGTTGTCCACTAATCCTTTGCAGGCATAAAACAATGAGTGAGGTGGAAGGTCTAACAAGGTGTCAAAAGATCAAAGAGCAGAAAAATGGCATGACAAAAGGATGAGAAAGAAAGGGTGCAATTTAGGAAACAAGAAGCTCATGAACAACTCATACTATGAGGCTAGCTAAACAAGGAAAACTTCAAGCAAATAGGAAGGACCATCACGAGTCATCTACCCTTCGTCACATAGTGTCATCACGCTCCAATGATAAATGTAACATCCAAAGGTAAATGGTCATTACTTAAAAAGTTTTTCCATGATTCTTGTATGCAATAATTAAGAAACAAATATGTTTGAGTTACAAATTTACTTGATCTAACTTGATTAACTCAGCATGTTTTCAAGCTTGTTCCTAGCACCACTTTTTTGATCTCATAGTTTTAACTAAATGAGCTAAAATATTGCACATTCTATCTCTAGAAGATGATAGTTATAATCATGTAAAGTTCGATACATTATGTAAAGATAGTCAATCCTTCTAGAGGTTAAGCAACTCAATCTTTTCTGCCAAATGAACTTAAATAATCTTTTGGTCTTATCACCCATGACATAATTAAACACAGCACATAACATCAACTTCATCTTGTTTAATGTGCCTAAGGTTAGAGAAGAATAAGGAAAGTTTTGGTTATGTTGGTGTTTTCCCACCAACAAAGTCCATGAATTTGATCTCTACCTTGTCTTTATGAGCAGGACACACTTCAAGCAAAGTGTGGGAGAGTCATTGATTCTCCAATTTCTACAAGTGGAAGCACTGAACCTGTCAACCCAAAAAACAAACTAAAAACCAAGGCAGGTTTGGCATAAGAAGGTGACATTATCATTAAAGGCACCACCACAAGAATCCTCATCTTCAGAGCGAACCGAGGTACTTGATCAATGAACTTCACAAGAAGTCCAGTTCGAAGGACTTAAAACACCAAACCCTCATCGAAAGAGCTAACTTAGGGGAGAAGCACCTCCGTGTATCCAGATAAGTATGTTTTTTCCTTTGTTCTAGTTTTAGTTTCTTTTAAATAGTTAAGAAAATGGTGAACGAAAAACAAAATAAAAAGTTATCTATATAATAAATATATATAGTTATAATAATAATGTGTGATCTAGTAAAATTGAAAATAAAATAAAAATGTGTGTCTAGTTTGCTTTAATTTGTTTTTAAGAGCTGAATAAAATAAAATGGACTCAAAATAATCTCTTAAATGGAAATGATGAATTGTTGCTCTTTTGTAATTCCTTTCAAGTACCTAGTTTTTAGCCTTAAATACTCCCGAGTTTTGGATACAACTGATTTGATATAAAGATTTACTCTGAACTTGAAACTCATGGGTAGCGAATGCTTGATCTAAGTCCAGGTAATTGACATATATGATATGAGAAGGTCTGAGCTGCTATTTATCTTCTTCTAACTAACACTAAAGTTCTAGAGATTTACTTTTTGAAAAACACAAAAATGCTACATGATGAGTTCCTGTACGACAAAGCTTGAATTCGCACCAGAGCCATACATGTTATTTAGGCTAGGAAAACTTCCACATATATGTTGCTTGCTTTTGCATTGAGTTTTGTCAAGCTTTGTTGACCCTTATAAGAGGTTTGTCATGCTCTTAAAATCAAGATTACGTACACACCACCCAAATATGCACTACTTCTATACTGGGTGTAAATGCAAAAACATGCTTTCCATCTAGATTCACCCAAACATATTCTACTCCTACATTGGGGGTAAACACAAAAATATGCTTGATAGGTTTTTCATCCACCAAATAAATGCTCCAAGTTCTTGTTACTATCTCTAAAAAAGTTCTTTTGTAGAAAAGAGACATGAGGCTATGCAAAAGTTGTTCATAAAAAAATGATGATGAGAAAAAAATTGATAATTGTCCGAGATATTTCAAACAATGGGTACTCAGATGTCCGCCTGAAAAATAAGAAGAAGAGATGAATAAGATAGCCCCTGCTCTCTAGCAAAAATGTTTCCAAATTTTCAAAAGAGAGATAAGTTTTCAAGGAGCAAAGTAGAATTAGGTTTGGCACCATATATATCCACCATATATCCACACACATGCACATCTTGATTTGATAGAATGACTTAACTCTCTTTAGATCCAAGGTTTGACTTTACAACATATGCATTGCAAGTATGCTCTAGCTTTCTCCCTACCTATGAACTCCATATAAAGCTTTAGTGGTAGGAAGAAAAAGACATAACATCTTTATTGTCTTGGTGAGGATCCATAAATACCACATATATTGAGAGACTTGTGAGTGTCATACAATGAAATCTCTGAGTTTTATTTTTAAAACTTATAAAAACTCCGGAACAATAGTGGAACAAAGAACTTGAGACATAGTGCTTGACTTAATCGTTCTGTCTTTCAATTGCTCAAGACCCAAGTGAAGGCCGAGAAGCCCCATGATTGAAGGTAATATGGATAAGTTTGAAAGTCAGATTAGTTTATTCTAATCCAGAGGAGAATTTTTTATTGAACACCTGTATACTTTTGAGGCGTGAAAATATTGTAGCAACTCCTGATCCATTGCTAAGTTTAGCTTTGCTCAGGGTCTGTCAAAGGTTAAGATTGGGGGAACTTGTTGACGGTCACTAACATCAATTATAAACCGTCAACATAACATGTATTTATACTTAATTCTATCACCAAACATAGGTATAGGGCTTTAAACTAATAAATTTCATGAGTTTTGGTGAATCTATATTTTTAGCAGGGTTTATTCAAAAAACTGTCAAGGAGAACTTATTCGTCAAAGTAAATCACGTTTATCCACAACGAAACCGATGTAAGAAGACTCTAGAACACTCCGGAAGGCAACCCACCAAAGCAGACCACGAGGGGCTGACATGTGGGGCCGACCGGCCCCACCTGTAGGCCGGGCGGCCCATGGAACCCACCTATCAGTCTCCGCTTTGAATGTCGGTTCTCCACCACCATTGAGATCCAATCTATGCTGTCCTTTAAGTCGGTTTGATCCAAGGACCAACTTTGGACGCTTTGACCTATATATACCAGCCCCTGCCATCATCCCGGGAGCCATCCTTACGTGAAACATAACATCATAAGTGGGTCCTATCTTACTGGTTCAGTCTACAAGGTCCGGAGAAAATAGATGAGAAAAATTGGTAAGGCTAGGAAAAACAAGAATTTAACGGAATCTGAATCTTTTTTTTGTTGGAACATTTAGAAGGAAAGAAACTGATGAACCTTTCTAACACAAGGAACCGCTACAAGTGGTATGTCTAATCAAGGAAGACATTCAACAGCATGCATGGGATTGCTTTTGGCAATGACCAAGCCGGTCAAGGAAGTGGCTTTGTGTTCCATTCCCGTTTTTAAGGCTTGTACTTTCGGTTTTGGTTTCCGTGAGTCATTTTAGTTTGAGTGTTGTGAGTGACAGGGGCTCGGCCTGTGCTTTGTGTTTTTCGAGTGTCTGTAATAAGCACTGTTCGTCTAAATGCATACTGTTTAGGCGCTACACGGTGGTACACCGTTTCTGTTTAATAGGTTGTTTTGACCATTTAAACAGCTATTTTTTTCCTGTTTTGCCTAAATAATGGGTTAAACTGTAGGTGGCCGATTGTTTACCGTTTAGCATTTAGGATAACACCGGTAATAAGGGAGTTGTAAATATTTTTTTTCCTATCTTTTTCTGTACTAATTAATTTCGGTAAAGATTTTGCCGACCTTTTAAATAAAGAAAGGCTTGATTTGCCGACGAACCACTGTCCACTAGCTAGCACGTGAGCGTGAGAGCAGAGTGTGTTTACGAACTGCAGTGTGGTACGTGGCTGTGACTGTGCATCCTACTCGTACATACGTGTATGCCGCCACGCCGGCCGGCCTAATCGTGGCCACACAGCCATGCACACACCTGTAATGACCTCATATAATCATATATTATAATGGCTCCGTTCGACTTGCTGAAACTTTGTTGAAACTGGCTGAAAAATATTGTTCTGGCTGAATTAGTGTGAGAGAAAAATACTGTTTCAACTTAAAAAAATAAGCTAAATAGTGTCGTTTTTAAGGTAAGCCGAACTGGGCCGATATATAATTAAGCGAAACAAACACCTCACTCAGCACGCGTCACGGCAAGTTGTAGCCACTAAGCCACAGAAGCACGGCAGTGGCATCGGCGGTTGGGGCAGTTGGCGCCGCCTCTGCTTCCCGCGCCAATCCATCCATCCCCTGCCGCCCAGTGGAATTTCCCATCTCGTGGTCGTGGTGGCGGACTCCAGGCCCGGTCCGGTCGCCCTCACGACTTTCCGGCATCCGCATGGCATGACGAACCCAGCCAGACCCACCCACCGATAACAGACTACAGAGTGGTGGTCAGCTCAGCTGACACGTCATTAAAGTGTTAACACTCTTCTGTCTTCTCTGCTTCTTTCTACACGTCGATCTTCCAGGCCAAGGCAGGCCAGAGTGTTTGACCCCGGCACTCCTCCTCTACATCGGAGTAGTTATCCCGATCGATCCTTCGACTCCGCTGGGTATAAAACGCCTCCCCTTTGCCCTACTCCTGCACTCACTATCACTTCCAGAAGCAACCTACCCACTCCTCTCTTTCTTGCCTTGCCTTTGTAGCCAAGCACGCAATAAACTTGCAGCAAGCAGTTTGTTGCACGGTTCAAATCAGCAGGGAGCATATTTATTATAGGCCCGCGAGATCGACCGATCCGTCGGTGATATACAGCGAGCTGATTATATATTCGGCACATGGCGGTGGAGGCGGTTCTTGACGCCGCGGCGGCGGATCAGGTCGCCACCACTAGCACAAGCAGTGGGGCGGCAGAGGAGGAGGATGTCAAGGCGGTGGTGCAGCAGGAGCACGCCCAAGGGTTGGCGAAGCGGAAGCGCTCCAGGCGCCGCCGCGACCGCGAGCAGCAGCAGCTGCCCAAGGAGGCCCCCACCCAGGAGGAGTACCTGGCGCAGTGCCTCGTCATGCTGGCCACCGGCCGCCGCGACGTCCCGGCCCCGGCCCCCGCGCCGCCGTCGCAGGGGCAGGAGCACGCGTGCTCCGTCTGCGGCAAGGTGTTCCCGTCCTACCAGGCGCTCGGCGGGCACAAGGCCAGCCACCGCATCAAGCCCTCGCCGCCGGCGCCGGCAACGGAGGTAGGGGATCACCACGAGGAGCAGAAGCCGGTGCTGCCGTCCTCGTCGTCCGCGGGCTCCGCAGGCGCCGCCGACAACAACAAGCCCGCAGCGGCGGCGCACGAGTGCAACGTGTGCGGAAAGGCGTTCCCGACGGGGCAGGCGCTGGGCGGCCACAAGCGCCGCCACTACGACGGCACCATCGGCAGCGCCGCCGCGCCCGCCCCCCCGCGCGCGTCCTCCTCCTCCTCCTCTGCGGCGGCGCCGGCGGTCGCCTTCGACCTCAACCTGCCGGCGCTGCCGGAGCGGTGCGCGGGAGTGGAGGACGACGAGGTGCTCAGCCCGCTCGCCTTCAAGAAGCCTCGGTTCTTGATCCCGGCTTGATCCCTTAAGCTCATCGATTGATCAGCAGCAGATTGATCTGTTCATTGTAGATCTTGTGCTTGTACACCAAGCTTGGATTGAATTGTTCATGTAGCCTGTAGCTGTAGGTGGTGGTGATTAGTTGGATCGTGTATATACTACTATTATACGTAGGCACTGTTCATTATGTACGTATTCTTCTTCATTGTTTAATTATTAGGTATAGGGTGTAGGAGTAGGTAGAACCAAGAATCATGAATTCTTTCATTGGTTGAATCGGTGTATATGCATGTAAATAAATACAATATACAATAAAGAAAGCATATATCTTGGGAGAAATTGACAAGCCTACAGTACTTCTAACACAAAGCATGTGATGTGGTAGACTGGAGATAAGGCAGTTGCTTGCCGTGTGAGCCTGGCAATGAATCACGAGCATATATCTGTGTGTCAGCAAGCTAGAATATACGGACTACTCAGCTTCTAAAGGCATTGTTTAAATTCAGTGTGAGCCTAACTCAAGTTGTATAAACTACCAGTACTACCTTAGGCTTTGTCAAAAGCAAGCAAGCACGAGTGTGGCATGTATGGTACGACTACTGATCCGTTCGACCGTTCCAGTTTGGACAAATCGCTCTTGGTTGCCGGACGAAAAGACCAAGCTCCTCTGCACGACTACTGATCCGTTCGACCGTTCCAGTTTGGACAAATCGCTGCTTGGTTGCCGGACGAAAAGACCAAGCTCCTCTGCTTTAGGGCTCGTTCGTTTCCTCCGGAACGATCGCCTGGAAGAATTACGGCCGAAATCGTTAGTCAATTTACATAAGCTTTTATTGACCGGAACAATTTCTGGTGTCAAACTGCCTCAAACGAACGGGCCCTTAAGATGACCAAATAGAGACGGCGTGGCACGACCCGGTCCCCATAAAAAGTGGCCCTATAAATTAGTCGAGCCGTTCGGCTGATGGTTTTTGCGGTTGATAAGTTCAAGCCCTCCGTTTTTTATTAGATATCGCATTAGCTTGTTTCTAAATCAAACATTTATATCTTTGGCTATCCAGTTTAAAAAATTCTTATAATTTCACAGCATATGGATTATAGATTATGAAAGTATTTCTTATATGAATCTAAAAAACATAAGTCTTATGTCATGAAATTATATAATTTTTTTTGAAATAGATGGTCAAAGATACAACTATTTATTTAGGACAAAGCTAATAAGACATATAAATAAAAACGGAGGGAGCAGTAAGCGTACTCGGAAATTCCACAAAACTCGACATGGGCAGCGCTATATATATAATGTAGAGACGTTCCATTTCAGTAACATGCATAATGTCAGGTGCTATATAATTTGAAATATTTCAATCAGCCTTGGAGTAATATTTCACTTAGCTCTCCTTTTTACTCCGTTCAATTAGGCCTTGGAGTATCAAATATTTTCTTGGAAGGGCTGTAGCATCATATATAGATGTTCAATTTTAACTAGAACTACATCATCAATTATTATAAAATTAAAAATATTCAGTTTCAAATTAGGCCAAAAAAAAGCCTGATCGTGACATCCATTTTGGCACACGACAGGAAGCCCTTCCCATATGTATTTCATCCCGCCTAAATAAACTAGTATTTCAACTCCAAACTACATGAAATTTGACGTGTGAGTTACATATAATTTAAGCATTCCATTTTAGCAACATGCAAATGCCATATCCTAAATATTTTGAAATATTTAGTTTCAAAGTAAGGATGTGTTATTTCTACGATGAACCCGAGGAGCAGCCATGTGAACACAGGAGGGGTATAGAGGAGCTGTGAGCAAGGTTTGTGAGATTTCCATGGCTTTGTTCACGCATGGAATTCAGTTTCTCGTGGTCTTTACGTAAACGTAAGGGTTCTCCGAATTCATGGCATGCATATATTGTGAGACCATGTGATGAAAAATTGGTTTGATATGAAATTGGCATTGCAAAGTGATTTAAATTATTGCATAGTTTGGCATGCATGTGCTGCTTATATATGCTTGTGATAGCATGGTGATTTGGTATAGTTGCATGACATGCTCGTGTGAGGTGTTGTGCGGATTGACTTGAGTCAAGTCGTAGACTTGGACTTAGACACGGTTGCATGTTTGTTCATGTGCAGGTGTTGCTTGAGGCGGAACGTGGTCACTGACGGACTGGAACTGTGTTCAGGGATGAACTGAGGTTTCGAGACTAAGTTCAGAGAGAAATTGAGATCCTATCGGTCAAGGATGTCATGCGAGATGTTTGGGCTAAGAGAACAATGCACGTGAAGGCAAACGGGAGATGTATGGGCTATGGTGTGGTGTTGGTTCTGGCTGGTGCCCCTAGGACAATGTTGTGCTTGGTGCATACATGGGTTTATGTGTGCATGTTTGGTTTGGTAAGAGCATCTCCAAGAGTTTGCTATCTTAACTTGGCATCCATATAATTTTGGCAAAACAAGAAAAAATAGCCCTCGACAGTTTGACAAAACAACTTGGCATCAATAGCAACTTGGCAAATCTTCCCTCCGCACGCGCAAATATACGCGCGCGTATACGGCTTGGCATCCGGGGCTCTTCGTTTCTTAGCGGGGCTCTTCGGCTCTTCGTTCGCTTAGCGGGCCTCTTCGTTTTGTTAACGGGTTTTTTTTTATTTTATCAAGTCAAAAATACCAAACTCTTGGAGATTGATTTTTTTTTACTTGGTATATAATTTTGGGAGTTGACAAATCACAAGATTTGTCAAGTAAAATTTGACAAACTCTTGGAGATGCTCTAAGTATGGCTCATGTATGGAGGCATGGAGCCGAATTGGCCTCTTGGGGCTAGACGTGCATGCGTGTGGTGCTGCATGCACGGTTTGACCAGGTGCTGTACGTTGGTGCCGTGACTTGGTCAGGTAGGAGGCATGCAGGCCAGTGCATGTACGTTAGGACTAATGTCCATGTTGGACACGTTTTGGTGCTTGGCTCCTGTTGGCCGATCGAGCAGGCAGCTAGTGCCGTGATTGAAGGAGGACCATGGCTGGTTCGGACTTGGCCTCCTGGTGCTGCGTGATTTCCTGGTGCCGTGTGGTGCTAGCCGTTTATATCAGGAGACCGAGGGAGGCCAGGCGAAAAGATGAGTGCGCCGTGGTGGAGGATAGGCGTGTACGTGAAAAAGAGAAGGCAGCGGCGACGGCTGTTTTTGGAGTTTGGGATCTCGTGGTGATCTTTGTAAGGATGCTTGTGAGATGCATCTTGTAAACACATCTATGCAATGATAAAAATTAAGGTTTGGCAATTGATGTGTTGGTAATCTCGTTCCTTTGTTGCTCATGGATTTACATGCTAGCTTTTGGTTTTAGATTGATTTCGTGCTTGCAAGTTTAGACTCGAGTTGACCTATCTAAAACTGTGCTAGGGCTTTGTGCTGTTCATCTGAGCAGTTTGATTGATTACACTTTATTAGATTTTATTTAATCTCGAAGTTAGGGTTCAATCTATTCTCGTCACCATCAGACACAGCGTGCTTGTTTATTTTATATCTTGAGTTCTTGTCGACAAAAGATGCTCGGCAGTCCTTCAAGAGGTATCCCACGAAGGTAGATTGATCGGTGGAGGTGCGCGTAATCAGGAACCGGATGGTGACACAAGGCGCAAAGACAACGATTTAGATAGGTTCGGGCCGTCTGATCGACGTAATACCCTACGTCCTGTGTCTTTGGTGTATTGTATTGAGATGTAGTTGTCGTCTAAGGGACCCCTGCCTCTCCTTATATACTTTGGAGGGGTAGGGTTATAAGGAAAGTATCATATTTGGTACTATACAATATCTTACGGTGCACGTCAACCAGTGCCGTGCATGCCTTGATCTTGTGGGCCAGGCCACCTCTGATGGTGCGGTCCATATCTTGTCTTGTGGATACCGGGGGCCATACCCCCACAGCTAGTCCCCGAGCCAGACAGTAGGTGACATGATCACGTGGTGCTAGGGTCAGAAAGTAGAAGAAAGGCAGAAGACTGGCCGAGCAGGCAACCAGTCCACGGGCGGAGCCCTGAGTTGAAAAGCGCACATTCACCGCAAGGTGAAGTGTGCCCACTTAGCCCCCGAGCCTGCTGGAAGATGAAGAATGAATCTTGTAGCAGGGTCAAAGAAAAAGAAGTCTAAAAGCTTGCAGACGTCGTCTGACATACGCGTATCAAGACCCCAGACGTGCTGCCCAAGATCAGCACCCTGATCCGAATAGCATGGAGTAGCTTGATAGCACATCGATGAGACGTAGCAAGATCCGACCACCAAGGGAGTCCTCAGCTAAGCTGGCGACGTCCGAGTACCGAGGAGTCCTCAGCGTAGCTGGCGATGTCCGAGCGCCGAGGAGTCCCCGGCGTAGCTGGCAATGTCCGAGCACCGAGGAGTCCCCGATGTAGCTGGCGATATCCGAGCACTGAGGTGTCCCCGGCGTAGCTGGCGATGTCTGAGCACCGAGGAGTCCCCGGCGTAGCTGGCGATGTCTGAGCGCCGAGGAGTTCCCGGCGTAGCTGGCGATGTCTGAGCACCGAAAAGTCCCCGGTGTAGCTGGCGATGTTCGAGCACCGAGGAGTCCCTAGCGTACCTGGCGATGTCCGAGCACCGAGGAGTCATCGGCGTACCTGGCGATGTCTGAGCACCGAGGAGTCTCCAGCGAAGCTGGCGACGTCCGAGCACCGAGGAGTCCCCGGCGTAGCTGGCGATGTCCGAGCACCGAGGAGTTCCCGGCGTAGCTGGCGATGTCCGAGCACCTAGGAGTCCTCGGCGTAGCTGGTGATGTCTGAGCACCAAGGAGTCCCCCGCGTAGCTAGCGATGTCCAAGCACCGAGGAGTCCCCAGCGTAGCTAGAGATGTCCGAGCACCAAGGAGTCCCCGGCGTAACTGGTGATGTCCGAGCACCGAGGAGTCTCCGGCGTAGCTGGCGACGTCCGAGCACCGAGGAGTCCTCGGCGTACCTAGCGATGTCCACAAGGTGAAGTGGGGTGAAGTGTACCCACTTAGTCCC